CACGATGATCCACATTAGTAATGGCTAATTATCTTTTAACGAGGCTGGCAACCGGGCGAAGCATATACCGAAGGGTCATAGATCACGATGTTCAATCGCCATTTCTCGTTTCAGCTTATCTTTGGATTCCCTGTGGCACAAAGGATTAAAATAAATTCTGTGTGCATGAATAAAACATTATGTGTATATGTAAAGCGTGCGTATAGGTAATGAGTATGCAAGTCATAAAATATGCCTTGTTATAAAGAATTTGCCTGGGGCTAGTGGCAAAATTCAGAAAGAGGACCTAAAAACTGCCAAAAGTGGTTTTACCTGAGTCGCCATGGTGATGGAACCATTCTCATGTTCTATGATTAGCACAACCTTCTGCGAAGCCTTCAGAATAAGGCGGGTAAGGCACATCTAAAGCATGCCAGTCTGTGATGACAGCTTCTGAAGGTTTTTGTCAGAGAGGAGGACTCAACCACCCTTTACAATATCAGGTTGGTGTCAGTGCTTTGAAATTAAAATGCAGTTTTCCATTTCGCCTCCATGCTTTGAACAGGAAAACAACTTCAATCTGACTGATATTACAAGGGGAAAAATATGAAATGTTGCCATTCATCAGAAGCATGGTAATAATAAACATGTTTTTGTGCATTAATGACTATAGACATAGCTCAAAGAAATGACCTCCCACTGTGAGAGAATACGATTAGGTCTTTAGAACACTAACCAACCGCAACTGCAGGAAAATATGCAGTATTGAACACAAATTTATAAAAAGAGACATGGAGAATAAAACAGAAAGACTTGTTTTTTAGAGAAGACAGGAACAATTTTTCTGTGCTTGATCATGTAGTTTAAGATGAACAAAAAAACGAAGAAACTAAAGAAGGCGAGATATTCTTCTGAAATTGAACAAACTGCATAACAGTAGTGCAGTACATACATTTATAGGATTTATAGATCAACCTCTCAATCATGCATTAAGTAAATAATATCAATTATATTGCATTTATATTGATAGATTTTTATTTACATTAGATAAATATATATATATATATATATATATATATATATATATATATTTTTTTTTTTTCAGCATCAAGTAATACATGTTAGGTATAGGCAATATGCTGCATGAAAAATTATATCTCTGTCTCTCTTAAACAAGAAAACTACTTCAAATGTCAGAAGTCCTCTGAAATTCTCTTAATTGACTAGAACCTTCCTACGTGTGGTTTCTGCAAGATCTGGGGGGTTTATCAAGAGTTCACCCTTCAAAAGAAAAAGTAAGTCTTTCAGATGATTTTAGCAACAAGTGAGCTTCTCTAAAAAATATACATACAGTATTATTTTTAATCAATAGATATTCATTTATGAACTAATGAGATTTAGGAAAGCAGCTGTACAAATCCAAATCGGCAAGAGAAGCCTTAATAAAATAAGACATAGCTTAGGCATCAATGCCTGATTAGAGTATCTGTGTGGCAGTGACCTTCTGAATGCTGTGTGAAAGTCAATTTATAATCCCTGTTTGACAGAGCTGAGATGAAGAGGATTTTGGGATGAAAGAAATGCACTCAGCCATAGGGCCATCAGAGGCTGGTTGTGCACATGCAGGGCTATAGATCCCGTTTTATCACACAGACAGCAGAAATATACACCATTGATGTGCACAGTCTGCACACACACTCATACATTTGTTTAAACTTACTTATAAAAGTCAGTACTTATATAATACAATACGTTCTATGAACCTCAAATGCTTCTCCAAAGTATGTTTGTCAAAGTAAAACATCCATTAAAACATTACCTTTTAAGGCTTTCATTTAGAGGTGCCTCCTTTTCAAAAATGTAAAAAAAAAAAAACAAATGGGGGGAAATAAGCCAGTAATATGGTTTTGGAATGACAGAAAAAGCCATTAAATTTTGATTTTAGGGTGAAATGTTTCAGCACAAATACAAGTTATTATCAATAGAATTGCATCCAATCATACACTCATTCAAATGCACATCTGCACATGAGCCGAGGCAACAAGCACGAATGCACAAACACACAGCTTCTGACAGCCCACCAATCCATGCTCATCTCATCTGTGTGTTGTTTTCAGGTTGAGGTAAATTAGGATTTAGCTATACTGAACATTGTAAGGAGCACAGTTCCTGTATACATGCATAAGAAGCTTAGGGGGTTAAGACATCAGAACTTGTTGCCATGGAGTGCAGAAGGAGGCTCTCCTTGGAAACACCCAGCATTTAGATTCATAGATACAGAATTTCTTGTGTGAAGGACAATATATATAAAAAAAAAATAATGCTTTATTTTTTTATTTACTTCTCTAAACTCAACTTTAATCTTTCTCTCCAGTAAATAAACACCATATGTTTGCGTCTGGAGTCCCTGCAGTGACGGACAGAGGCTCAGACAGGATATGACATGCGGACAGGCAACCATGGAGCCTGAGCTGAATTCTAGGCAGATGAAACACAGGTGGTGGCACTGCGTGGGTGTGGGTGTAAGCGTACGTGCACATAGAGGTTAAGTAGAGCTGCAGGCTAAAGTGCTAAAGACCTGACAACAGACACAGTGAACTGCGTCAGTGCTCACTGAATCGTTACAGTGTTGCTCTGTTTTCAGCTGGTAAAAAGAAAAAAGCTGTCATTCTGCCATTCTGATGGCTAGCCGCTGTTATCAGCATTACAGGCTGCCAAGATTACAGGCTTGCAGATTATTAGCCAGAATACAGGCCAGCACTGTATAGATATGATATAATCATTTACGGGTCAGTGACGTAACATTATTTGTGTCCAGAAACATCCTAACTCAGAATACTATCCTATCCGTTTAGTTGCCACAGAAAATTTTGAAGTCAAGAATTAAGATTTTCTGTAATACAGCCCCAGATCTCATTTAAAAAAAAAAAATTAAAATGCAATTAATGTAGACAATAAATGTAAAAATATATTATATGATGTACTTACTTTCAGTTCCTGACTTAAAATGAATTTTGATCATTTTTCATTGAGCTTAAAGAAAGAAAATATCTTGGTGGTGTAACTGTCCTGTGTAACCGTTTGATGAATGAAATCGATAGCAAATTTGACAATAAAAAAAAAGTAGGGCTGCGCGATATGGACAAAAAAATATAATATCAGTATGTGGCTATATACAATATATGATTTAGGTTATAAATCTGAAGAAATGGTGCACACTGCATTTCCAGATGAACATTAGAAGCAACTCAAACCCATATATGCAGAGATGGAGTAAAGACATTCTCCATGCATGTAAATGATCATATCAACCTTCACGCGTAAATAATTAAAGCGCATATATTAAACACACACGGCATAAATTAATTGAATTGAATCACAGCCTTTGTGAATTCAAAATAGTACTATGTATTATAACCATTTAAAAACTACACCACATAGCAAAGGTCTAATAATGCTTCCCTTCTTTGCAATGTGCCACTTCCGGTATTTTAAAACATTATAAAACATTCCATTTCAAATTTATTAAGCAGCACAAGTGTCTGTCAGAGCATCTGACCGGGCAAGCCATGCTAAACTATATGCGTACTATATCTTAAGAGTTATATTGAAGACCTTAATATAAAGCATATGTCTCATGTTTAGGACAAATTGGATTTTGCACGGAAGCTCTGTCCTCCGCAATTTTTCAGATGAGCTCCTAATATCAAACTACTGCAAATTGATATAAATGGTTTTGCCTCATCCTGATTCCTTTATAAAAATATATCAATATATCGTACACACTCGATATACTGCCCAGCCCTACTTATCAATATCAAGCATCTGTTCCCAATCTCCCAAATTTAGCATCAGAGATCCAAGCCCTGTCAGCAGCAGATATTAGTCAATGAATAATTCAGGGTGGGACATGTCCCAAGTAATTTGTTTAAACCCAAATCTCCTAGAAATGTCATTCAGGGAATGTTCGGGGAAAAGTCTCAGAGAATAGAACTCCAAGAGAACAGTTCTTTTACATGTGTACACTGCAGGAAAAATATATTTCCTTGCTTGGGATTGAGAGTCATCATGGACACATTATGGTAAGAGCACTGCAATATTTATGCCTCTGACACTACTTTGACTCTTTTTGAATCTTTACCCTCAGGCATTGCAGGCTGGCAAATAAAGTAGATGTATTTTAAAGTAAAATACATAATACTTCTTAATGAAAGTAATTTTCAGTAAATTTCATAATACTAAGGTTGAACTAAGGTTAAAAAAGATTATGTCCTATTTATTTTTAGAGACAACTGAACAGCAACTTCATGCCATTGCCAGGGTCATAATATTTTTTTGTGGGGGTTTATATATGTAGATGATTTTCAGTAATACTGAAGACGTCCTCTACACTCCCAGTGGATTCCTGTAGAGAATACATCACTCATCCTGCTGAGCAGCCTTTAACTGAACATTGGTATACATGCATGTCAGTCGGCCCCATCTAGTCCCACTCACGGCTTCAAATACTGGCACACCACTGGGCCTTCATCCTGGGATTCCAGACAGTCCAACCACCCTACTATGAATAATTAAACACTGAGAAAAAAAATTACATAAAGTGGATGATCAATTATTTAGCCCCAATTCTATGTATTATTGACAAAGGAAGCTGAATGCTCCTGTAACTTCGTTGTTGTGACTATAGCTCAACAGCAAACTGCATGGGCGATGGTTTAGGGACATGGTTAACATGACTATATGGGATGACCCATAGGGATTTTATGTATTTGCTTTAAGGGTAGGCCTAGCTGCCAAAAAAAAAAAAAACACACTGGACACAGAATTCAGGATTGTGAATTGAAAAGTTTGTCAATTGTTAACTGCAAGATCTTGCTCCGCGCTTAATCTTTGGGAGTGTTTTTTCTTCTTAGTGTCAGAAGCCATAATGGAGAGTGTGTTGTACTGTATCTGTCAGGAATTGATCAACAATAAAGCACATGAGACAGATGCAGCGAACTTCATTTACTCTTTCACTTCTGTTCTCAAACACATTACGTCATTACACAACACTTAAAAATTGTCCACAACACAACATATAAATATAATTATTTAATGAACACACACAAGACACAACAGTGTGTGAGCTTTGTACTGACACTGGGCTCGATAGATGCTGTCCTCTCACAGAACAGATGAACATTATCAGAGACCATCTATCACACTGACAGTGAAGACTAATTTAACATCCAACAATGCCAAAGCAAGATAAGCAAAATGAACATGCTTATGCGTTTGAACTTTCATTGTTATAATTGCTAATGATATTGTCTGCAACACATTTTCATTAATACACTATTTAGCATGTTGATTAATGTTTTACTCATGGCTAGTTCTCACAACCCAGGTGATTTCAGGTTTTACTATCCATGTAAACTACATAAAATCTCCCCAACACATCGTTGATAGGAATAAATAATTTAACATGCCAGTAAATCCCACAGGGTCCATGTTATCAACATAAAGATCAATCCTATGATTATATAACCTAAGTATATTGCATAACAAACAAACAACAGCATTGACACCATAGCCCCATATTACAACCAAGAACAGAAAGACAACAGCATAAGACAAATATTTATTTCAGTAAGAAATTTCCTTTAAATAAGTAAAACGTGCAACGTATGTTCTGGGAGAGTTGCTTCCCTCACAAGCTGTTGGAATAAACAAGGCCACTGAGGCGCGATCTCAAAAGGGGCAACAGTCAGTCAAAAACATGCCCAATTCCCAACACGTTAAGAGCAAACTAGTACTCCTGAGGCAACTCAAGCTTGTTTTAACCCAGCTCATGAAGTCTTGTGGCACTCTGTGCTGCAATCTCTAGATCGTTTCATTTCTGATATTGGGCTTGATGCCAGTTGATGGTCCTGACAGAGTCCCAACCAAGAAATATGGTCTGTCATGGTTAATTCTGCTCCCGTATTAATCTTTAGATGTGTGGTGGGGGGTGGGTTTCTGAAAATAATAAATGATAAAAGGCGATCAAAAACAACAGCTTCGAAAGACCAGCGTTCAGATAGATTGCATGCGGTTGCACAAACTCCGCAGGGCAACTTATTGATCATATGACCTTTAGCATTACAATGTCAAAACTGTGGGGGCTGCAGTCAGCAGAAGCCATCAGTATTTCAGTGAAAGGACACCGAGGCTATGCCAGGACATCTACAAGCATTATACACAGATTTGCTTCAAATGACTCAAAATGCATTTCTCTAGTTGTAATCTGCCGCTTCTGAAGTTATTATCAGCCTTTATGTTCTGATTACCATTTTATTACTCAAATTTAAGATAAAGCAATTTAGATGAAAGTTTGGTTAGCACTGATATAGGAGACATGAAGAAGGTTTAAACTGAATTCGACAGATGCTCTATTAGAGAGAAATAAAATGTTACATGTAACATAATATAAATGTAAAAAGAAATCCTGGCATTTAGCACATTCAGGGTTTTTAGTTCATATTTTAGTTGCACAAAACTGTATGAAAACTGGAAAACGTCTAATTGTCAAAACCCACAATACACACGCACTATTGTTCCTCAATTAAATGCTAAATATTTGCTTTAGCACTAAAATTACAGCTTTGATTTTTAGAGGTGAAAAGACATTATGCGTGTCCTTAAGATGTGGCATCTTCAATATTTGCAAGCTTATTCATTCTTTTTCTTTTTTTAATGTCTGAAACAAGGGTATTTTATTAAAATGCAAGTAAAGTATCCAATGTCAACATTTTCAGAAAAAGAAATGCGCTTTTAGTTGGAGCAAGATTCTTTATCTGCCTATCCCTTTTTACTTCACCTAAGGATTATATCCTTCTCCCCTTCACAGCCATCTTGAATCTGTTCTCATAAAGCTCATGAGTGCACCTGAGGCTCTGCTACAGGTCAACAACAAAATTCACAAACATGGGCAAAGAAATTCAATTAACCCAGCCATATATTTCCACGATTGCCACCGCAGAGGAAATTGAATGTTGTTCTTCCAATTCGATTGGCCTCCCAATGAAATGTAATAGCATTACATAAATGAATGAGGGGGAAAACGACAGGGCAAACAGAAGCAGGATGTTATTGTTAAATATGAACTGTGCTCCGGATGTTAAGGAAATCAGACAGTCAAGGGCAGATACCATAGACATATATAAAGAGTTTTGATAATCGAGGACTAAAAATAACAGTAAGTAATAATAACAACAGAAATCTAAAAAGTGGTTCTAATATAATATGATAGTATAATAAATATCTAATATAATAGTTCCTGCATAAAAAGCTGCATAATCCCATCCTTTTGATGTTGAGGAGGTGTGCATATGTTATCTTGAGCCTTAGCGTCCAAAATGGATAAGGTTAAGACAGATACTGAGTACCGGTATGCATATATTAAATGGTACATACTTTCTAAATAACTGATGATTATCCATTTCAACAAAAGGGGAAAAGCCTCAAACTGTTCACTCCAGGAAACAGGTGGCATGCAAATGTACCCAGTGAGCTGCAGGGTAAACCAGTTATTCAGAATGGCGTGCAAAACAGGGACCGAATCCACTTTCTATTACAATAAAGATTGTCTCAGCTACAGTAATTTCACATCCCACCATCTGTCACTTGAACCCCAATTGAACAAAATACTCAATATAGGCTACATACACCCTAACAGATGTTATGGATTTCAGCACACTTGAAATTATGTCACAATAGTTAGACAGCATGAAGATGAAGTCAAATTGATTTCACTAATCAAATTTGATGACAATATCTCACCGTCCCAGAGTGCTAGGTATCATTACGATTTTTAATTCATCAATAATAAACCAAAACAGCAATGTACAAGCATGCAAACAGAACACCAAGCAAAAAAAATCTTCAAGGAGAATGCAAATTGGTTCATTAATATTAATAACTTTTACAGTAAGATGCCAGTCAGGAGAAAACGGTGGGAATTTGCAAGTCTAATCCGGACTTTATAGGACTCAAGGAAGGGTTTGTTCCACATCACAAGTCTTACTGAGATTGGAGGGAACAGAATACCTCTGTTACATTAGATCTGTTCTGTGTTTCTCAAGACTGTGATTAAAAAATGCCAACGAGGAAGTAAATAAAAGTGTGTCTGTATCATCACAGCCACATTAACCGGTTTAGGTCCAAGTTGCCCTCAATTTTATATAAATAACTATGCTCTCCTACACGCTGTCCTCTGACATATTACACCTCCTCCATATTTTTAAGGGTGCTAATAGCAGATTTTCTTTATGTAATGTTAGTAGCATCTCATATTTGCTCTTCCTCCTGGTTGCCTGCTATGGTTTGCCTTCATTAAGAACCATGTTCTGTCTACTGACACACATATTCTCCTTTGAGCTCTCTACTGCCCACTTATCTTTTGCCAGTCCTATACTAATGAAGCTTCATTTGTTGACTCTGAGTGATTAGACTTAATCAGGGCTTAATGACCTTGAGGCTACAAATTCAAAAAGGCAAAGACTTGTTAGCCTGGGGGGAAAAAAAAGTTGTTTTACTTTAGCATGCAAAAGCAGTATGCTGAAAGGACAGCATGTGAAAATTATATGAACTTAAAACTTCCACTTCCAAACTATCAGAATCCACTGTATTTTAAGAAGTCATAATGTACATTTTTTTATTATTTAATTTATCTACTGAGGTCCACTCATAATGTTGCTGATGCTTTGAGCCAAAAAGTTATATTTTAGCTTCTGGTTACCAGAATTCAAATGGACCTTTAAAAATCCCCCTTCAAATGTCATGTTTTCTCCAGTTTACATTGTGACAGGGTCAGAAAACAATTCACACAGGAATGTGCTGTTAAGTTCAGACCGTTTTAATTCTTTGTTACGTCACGCTCTCATAAGGATCAGAACAATAAAAAAATAATGATTTTTAGTGGCTTCCTCACAAACTTTTTTTTTCTGTGTTCAGAGTGCATTTATCCGGGAGATAAAATCCTGTTACAGATGTCTGAACACTACTTACATAATTCAAAAGTAAGGCTCAAATGCATCAGAATTGTGATATTTCATATGGCCCAACTGTTACTGCATCTTTTTCTTTGCCAGTTTTTGCTTTATGCCTCGCAGCCAATGCAATATGCCCGGATGTTCCAGATAGATGAGATTAATTATGAGACCCATAGCACCATGCGTAAAGCAGTCTACGAGTGAATGACAGCCCGTGCCGAAAAGGAGACAAGCGAAGAAACATCAACGCTCCACCATCCGGAGAAAACACATAAAGCATGACATTCAAAAAAGGTCAGACTCTCCTCATCCACAGACAGGCGAATACACACTCAAGCAGGTATGATGAGGTATCAACACATAACTTCCAACTCACTGCCAAAGTCAGATCTTTTCATTCATTATCAAATTATAAGATACCCTTTATTCACTAGTTTACATTAATGCCAGTAGGGTTTGAATAGTTCAAAATGGTTCTGTTTTCCAGCAATGCAGATTTAAGTTAGTAGATTTTAGTTAGTTAGGAATCCGATGGCCCACACCAAGAAGGTCTATAATCCCAGGAAAGTGAAATACGTTAGCATTTACATTTATCTTAATGTCAGATTCTCAAATGGCGCATAAATACTGGGAAATGCACGACCTTTGGAACCACAGAACATTTTGAGAACAATCACTAGAGTTGTAAATTCCATGTGAATCACATCATGACAATCCTGACTGGACAACTATGTTAACATTGCAGTATGCACAGTCCAAATTATTCAAATTATTACAGAAGTACTGGGGGAAAAAGGTTTAGTTTGGATATCCATATACAGTAGCGATCAAAATAGAATAAATCACCTTTTGGAAGAAACTTGACACTTCAAGTAATGATTGTATCAATTACATAGAGACAAGTGACTGTTAAAAAAAATGTATGTCATTGAATCATTCATTCAAGAGATTTGTTCAAAAATGCTGATTCATCCAGTAATGAAACAAGTTAAAAATAATTAATTCAAACTGATTAAAAAAAATAGACTGCTGCAATTAACATTTTATAAGAACCTAGTAAATGTGCATGACATTTTTACGAGTTTACTCAGAATCGTGGTAGAATAGTGAATCTCCGTTTTTAAAAAAAAAAAAATGTGATTCTCAAATTTTCCACAATTGCGCCCCTCTAGTTAAGCATCTGCGTTTACATTCTCGCATGGAGTATATCTGGGGCCTTACACGGTTGCAATTATATACACTTACAGGCATGCATGAAAATACACACGCAAACACAGACAGCACAGTCTCTCCGAGGTTTCCTCATCAGTATTCCATGGTCACAGCATGCTGCAGTGACACTGCTGTTATCTGGCCTCTCTTCCGCTCTGCTATGTGACTTTAGGAGAGGCTATATAGAGCTTCATGATTTGCGACAAACCTCCCCATTTGAGACTGTTTGCTTTCTTCAACTCTCTCACTCACTGTCTCACTCAACTCTGTCTGCCTGCCTGCATTTCTCTTTCTCCCTGTTGTGGTCATTCAGACACTTTTATCTTGATTACCAGATGTATCTGATGAAAACAATAGTATAAAAAAAGGAAGGGGAAGAAAGACTATGCCACTTGTCTGTGCTTTCACTTTAATTCCCATCAGCTTCAAAGGTAGGCAGAGAAGACATCTGGTGGAATTAAACTGCTAAAAATATCTGTGAGGATACTCAGAGCGGTAGACATCTCACCGTAAAAGCCAGAAGACATCAAAGGTTTGCAAGGAGCATCTTCAGGGGGCAAGGTCTTTTGGATTTTAATGAAGGCACTTTTTCTACTGCATTACCTTCCTGAGAGTCTCCCCAGCTGAGATGTATTCGCAAAAGATTAGCGGCTACAGCGAGCTTCCAGTTTGACGGAATAGCATGTCTAATCCACTGCTTTCATATAGTCAATTTGCTGCGTCGTACAAAAACAAGGTGAAACTTTTGAAGCAGCACTTCTCATGTTATTTTTACCCTTTCTGCTGGACTGAAGAGTTTGAGTGGCTTTTTTTCCCCTTGCTGGGTAATGCCATTTTGATGCTACACAGGTGCAGACTGCACCTGCTGTCTCTGAGTGCTGCTCTTTCATTGGCCCAGATGAATCGCAAAGCAGAATCCTGGCCAATCAGGCATAAGTGTGTGTTGCCAAAAGCAACTTATTGTGATCTGTGTGGAAGAGCACATTGAAATCAACCAGTCTGCCATGAGACGCGCAATTCAAACAACAGTGTGATGTGAGAAGAAATTGTGCTTTCCATAAAATATCACAGCTGAATAGAAAAAAAAGATTATTTGCCACCTATTAATAAAATTCGAAAAATAAAGCCAGATGATGAAAAAATACAAAACTTTGTGTCTTATGGAAACGTGTTTGTATGATTAAAAAAGGAAAGATTATATTAGAGAGAATTATATAATTGTCTTCATTTGAGAATATCAGTCCTACAAGATGAACTGAAAGCAAACAGAGGAATCAGTGTCTTAAACTCAAGACCAGCTGCCAAGTCAACGCCCATTTCCTTTTCCACAGTAGTTGAACAGTAGTTTGTTCTCTTGCCCCCTGAATCAGTGCCCTGTAAACTGGCACTCACAAAAAAACTCTTCACGTGTTGACAGTCTGAACTGCATGCAGGAAGCGAGAAGTAAATAAATGAAAACAAATTTTCCTTTAAGGAGCAATAATATGTCTCCCTATGGGGGGTTTAATCTCATTAAATGACATTAACTTTTAATTTCATTAAATGATATGAGTATTTTAAATAAAAAAACAATTTGAAAATAATCTTTAAACCTCAAACTGTCCAGGGAGTTTATTTATATTTTTTATTTCGATGAACAAAATTGTTTATTAGCAACGCAATTATATTAAATATCTGTCAGATAACCAATAAATGGAACCGATAAATCAGGTTTAATTTTTATTAAAACTATTTAAAATGGCTTTTGATCAAATAAAGCTTAAGTAAAATAAATATAAATATTGTATGAAACAAACAAAAAAAACTAAAAAAGTTGTATTATGTTTCAGTTTTCAATTAAAATTTTTAAAAATATATTAATTATAGATGTGTAAAACCATGAATAGAAATGACAAAAATCACTTAAAATTACTAAAAGTTCAATCAAAATGAAAAGTGAATATAAAACATAAACTAACTAAGCAATTTTCTATAAATAAAAAAAAAAACATTAAATACAAAACACTAAAAACATTTATTTTAAAAGCAACAAGTGAATCACACCATTATAATGTAGGCCTACAGCATGAAAAATGGATATTTAATTTGAGATTTTCTAAAGATTTCATTTAACAGCGTTATTAAATTACTGGTGTTTTTTTAAAGATTAACTTTGAGCGCTAGATGACAGCAAAGGTAAAGTTAATAAAAATGTCTAGGCAAAAATGCACCACTAAATATACAATATCAAACCATCTTTAATATGATACGATAACTGATCTGATATACTGTGAATATATTTTTAATCTTAAAATGAAACCTGGAAAAATTTATTATTTTGTGCTTTGATCTAATACAATGTCACATAATTAAAAAATGTATATATCTCCATGCTTTAGCAACCTCAACTAATGTAGCATACCACACGCTTATAGGCAATATTCTTAATGTATGCAGCAAATTTTCCTGAATAACTCCCATTGAAGAGAATGTCATGCTGTTCTGTCTCTTGCTGCGAGAGTAATTAACACCATTCCTGCCTCCTTATTATCTTCAATGCTGAAGATTATAAAGACAAATGTGAGCGCAGTTTACAGAAATGCAGAGTCATGCCTGCAGTGTCTTTGCACCTCTTCAATGTCATTGGAAAGCAACTGCATTGGACAGAATTTTGGCATGTAAGTGCCAAACATAACAGGCCATCAGGGATCAGTTAACTTCTAGTGCCCCCCACCCCCACCCTACCCTTGTGATCTAACTGCAATCAGAGGAACTTTACTGTTTGCTCATCAACCAATCAGGTGAAGCACCAGGATGATCTGCAAGACTGTATCCACACCTAAAGAGTACAAAAGTAATCTATCCACTCGTTCACCAAACATGAATGTGCTGTTTTGTGATTTTGTGGTGCAAGGTCAGTTTCTTGACAACACTGCACTTTCGTCAGCCTGCTGAAGGTCTTCTCTGGAGCAATAAGTCACATTTAAATTGCCACTCACCTTTATTTCTGTAGGCTACTTCGTGCAAATTGTTTCATCCTGAAAGTTAGAGCAGTCAAGTTCTTTTATAATGGCTCTTTATTGCCCCCTAGAGCTCAATCCTTCCTTAAACAACCTGTGAAAAGATGGGAAGTAAAGGTTCAGTACTGAAAATGAAGTAACGTTAGATCAGTATGATATGCATAGTGCATACTGCATAAATAATGAGAGAGAAATGTATTATGTTGATTTATTATAATGTTCTCAGATCTCGATCTAAACACTCTTTGAACTCACTGGCAGGTGTTGTGAAGAGCAATATGACAAGAAACCACAAGATGTCATACTTAACTAATCGAATTCCCTGCCAGACAGAATGATGTTTTTTTGTTTGTTTGTTTTTTGGAGAATATCATAATAACAATCTGTTTTCGCACTCTAGGAAAAAAACGGAGCCTCAAAATCATAATAATAACAATTTACTCACCATTACATCGTTCTAACCCCGTATAATTTTCTTCCATGGAGCACAAATGGAGAATTTGTCATGAAATATAGCCTACCAGTGTCAATAAATGAGGACATGTGGCCGTCAACTTCCAAATTATGACTAAAAACGCATTAAATGCTAAAGGTAAAGGTAATTCCGTTTAATTCCCTAATCCCTCCGCTTTAAAATCAAATATGGCGCCAAAGCCGTCAATGACGTAGGCCTATGTTAGGCGATTCGCGAACCAATGAGCTCTATGCACGGCGTTATTTCCGGTGAAGGATTAAGGATGCTCGATAACTTCCGCCGATCATAGAGTCCAATGCAATACCGAGAATTTATATTGAATTTTATACTCCATGGTTATACTAAAGAAACGTTAGTCACAAAAACAGATAAAACAGACACCCCTCGTTGTGTTTATGCTTCTTTTTAAAATTATATTAAATAAACATAACTATATATAAAATTACATCTAAACGTATGTACGTTTTGTTTCAAAGACGGGAGGACAGTAAATATTGAAGACTCTGCCATAATCCCGTTTTCTCCGCTTTTCCTCTGCTTTAATCTACACAACCGGAAATGGACGAGTGGACGAATGGACTTACGTCAAATGCGGAACTTATGCGTGCATATAGCCCATAACATTGAACAGCAATTTGGTAGTCCAGCATACGTCTATATTTATTCTTATATTTAAAAAAAAAAAAAGATATATATATATATATATATATATATATATATATATATAGCCTATATATATCTATATTTTTTTTTTTTTCCCCTCAGACTTGACTCAATTCACAATCACTTGGACATTGAAAGAAAAAAAAAATATCTAAATTGAGAACTCAAACCCTGGTCAGCCCTCCAATTAAGTAATGGTAGTTTTAGCTTTTTTGAAAGGTTCTTATTTTCATAAAGCTCATTTATGATTTTGAGTAATTTTATCAACAGTTTCCATCTAGGGCTTTAAGTGTAAAATACCGAACTTGTCCTTTAAACTTATAAACTCCTTAAACTCAGAAAACTCATCTAAACATACTGTAAGTAAACTCAATTTGAAGAAATCAATAGGTGAGATTGTCTGTTGAGATCTATGACAGCTGATTAGCATGACCCCTCGCCCTCATTATGCTAAATGTGAACTGTAGAAAATGCCACTCATTAACCTTTGCCCATACCTTCTATGTGCTAAACCTCCCAATAGGTTATAATTTGTGGTTTAAGCAACTCTGCAGTCAAATTTATTAGCTATTCTTGTCCAGGTCTTCCTATAATTTACATGTTTAAAAAATGGTTGAACATGATGATTTGCCGAATATAAAGGTGTTACTGTTTTTGCAGTTTGTCTATTAATATTTCTACTCTCTAAAGTAAATTATTCTGCCTACGCCACTGCTTGTAGCACATTTCTTAGTTTCAAGTATACTCTTAATAAAGTACAAAGTAAAGTTGGCCTATATAGGCCAAAACTGACTTTTCTGTCAGTATAAGTCAAGTACTCAAGTGTAATTTTAAGTATAGCCTGTATTTCTAAAAAGTACATAAAAAATTGACTGAAAATATACTTTCTTATTTTTTAAGAAAAGTTAAGGTAAGGTAATGACTGGGTTTGTATTGTTTGGGTGAACTAACCCTTTAATTAACTTTTTCCCGCAAGGTTGCCAGCCACCATCAGCATGTTTTAAATCATTTTCACTATTTTTATGGCCCCTAGAATACTTTGCTCTATGAATATCTGAACATGCAATTTATCAAAAGAACAAATAGAGATTTATTGTATAGCTTAATGCATTCGTTTTTTCCTCACCTAGATATCGGGGTGGTGATGGCGCAGTGGATAAGACACATGCCTTTGGTGTGAGAGACCCAGGTTTGAATCCATTGTGAGACACCAATGTGTCCCTGGGCAAGACACTTAACCCCTAGTTGCTCCAGAGGCGTGTGACCTCTGACATGTATAGTAATTTTAAGTCGCTTTGGATAAAGGCGTCAGCTAAATGAATGAATAAAAAAAAAAAAAAAAAATATGGGCAAGTTTCATAAAAAAAAAAACATTCTGAGCAAAAAGCTGAGAAAAACTTTTCAATTACATTTTATGACTTGTAATCAGCTTGTAAACATATTTTATGTGACTAGAAAAAAATGAATAACCGTTAAACGTGAAAGTATTTTGCAATTATTTAAGACAATTCTCTTAAAAATTTTCAAGCAAGTCAGATGTTGCAATCGTTATATTGTAATGCTCATGCACCTGCTGAATCTCAAGGCACGTTGTGGTAGAGTGCGTTGTGGTTGACTGCGAACTTGACATTGACAAACTTTTATACAACACCATATTACAGAAAATTAATAAAAAAAATTATTAACATCCCTATTATCTTTCCTATTATCTCTATTTCGTAAAAATGACTGCTCTTGCTCCTTCTTTTAAGTGGTTTAGTATATGAGCCACTCACTCCTTTCATCTATATCTTAAAAGAAAATGAACTAACCCTTTCTGTCTCAGATCCAACATGCAGTAAAAGACTCACGTGGATAAGCATTCACAAAGAGTGAGATTACTCAAACCTTTCAGAGGTTCTTTCTAATGGGAGGAAGTACATCAAGTATGTGGCACATGCACGTGAATGTATGGTCAGTGCATTTAGTTGTTTATTTAGTCCTGTGGAAGATATGTTCAACCAGAAGGCTTTGATGATTTGGATATTAATATGTGGGCGGTTATGAAGGGAAGACAACATGCTTATGAATTTAGAGAGCACTACTTTAAACCCAAAATAATACACTGTTCTAAGAGGTGCTTTGGTGTCCTACTTTCAGAGTGTGGCATAAAATAGAAAAGATCACTCTGGTTACATTTGCTTTGTCCTTTGGGTTCAGACTTGAGAGTGAAATGTGGAGAGAAGAAATCAGCATCTACAGTATCTTGTGCTTTACACACGTGACGTGTCATAGATGATAAAATCATTAATTAGATCAAAATGCATTAATACTCAGGCTTTTGTCACGCACATATAGGGCTCAAGAGAGGAAATTATGAAGATGGAGTGGGACTATATGACCTTGCAGGGTCAAACAGTTTTAAAAAAACAAATGAAGTTAATAAATTTAGTGGATTTCTTTCGAGGACGTTTTGCTATATTCATTGTCTAAATAGTGTAATTTACCTCAATGCTTTCAACCATACAGGCTCTTTCACGTTCATTCCCAATTCGTGCTATTTTAATATCACTGAGATAACCTACTATTTTTTAGTAAGTTTGAAATAGTCATTTAAGTTTTAGTGATTTTGTTGTTTGTTATTTTTATTATAGATAAAACCTTTCATAGATAAATTGACCAAAACAAATTGTCAATTGAACATGGGGACTATGCATGGTCTTTCATCATAGGTTAAATATTAAACACATGTTATCAAAAATAATAGCAGAGATCACTTGACACACATAATTTTGAATGCTTGTCTCCTCCTGCATCTCCATTTTCAGTGGATTAATACATCATGAGGGCCAACATTCAGTGCTTGTATGGATATTTCAAAGCATTCATTGATCCTTTTCTTTGAAAGCCTCTGATATACCATGACGACCAGACCTAATGGTTTCAGCAGGCATCAAAGTCTTATTATGAACACATCAGATCTTTTTATCCACAAAACCTATATTTCCGTCTCACTTCCTCCGTAAGGCCGCACACTTTTTTTTTTATTCCGCTTGCCCGAAATTCAATTTTACTGAAATGTTTGTCTTGTTTATAGCAAAAATATGATTTCTAAGATAATAAGGGGGTTTCACATCATTTTGATGGTCTCTTAAACACATTCTGTTGACTAAGTAATTTTGTACCTACATCTACTAACTCTCATTAGAGTGTTAGTTAGAGTAGTAGACTGGTTAGTGATAGAATAAGTTGATATGCATGTTGGGCTGTATTTTAAAGGGATAGTTCACTTCGAAATTAATTTTTGATATGTTAGCTATACCTCAAGGGCATCCAAGATGTAGGTGTCTTTGTTTCCACAGTCTTTTAAATTTTGATGTTTTTAGATCAAACCGCTCTATTCTGTCAGTCATATAATGCAGGTATATGGTCACCACCTCAAAGAGCATGCACAGAGAAGTCCAAATTAAACATAATTTAATGACTCATAAATGTAAGTACACTTTGATGACCTAAGACACAAAACGAGCGGTTTGTGTGAGAAAACGAACAGTATTTATATCGTTTTTACCAACCACAGCCACGTCCAAGTGATTTGAGATTTGAGGCCACGGGCGCTTCGGTCTGCGCAAGTGTCGGAAAGCGCCGGAAGTGATCTCTCGCGGTTGCCAAAAAAAAAAAATTCAATGTTGTCTGTTGATATATCAAAATCGTCTTCCATTGCAATTCCCTGTATATCTAAATATGTTTGGATCTTCACAGTGAAAGGTATAACAACATCATTGTTTTCTAGAGAGCGGCTATATAAATTAACTAAATTATTAACTTTTTTTACAACAAAAATGACCCATCACTGAACTTACTTAAGCTGGACTATGACACTGTTTTCTTCTAGAAACTAAGTGTGTTGCATTATTTTCCTGTTACCACTGTAAAGCTACTTTGAAACAATCTGTATTGTAAAAAGTGCTATATAAATAAAGTTGACTTGACTTAATATAAACAGCATTATGGATGCAGTCAAACTATTTTTTTTTTTTCAGATACTCAGAGGGCACGTGTAGCAAATCTTTGCACAAATGTCTCACATCCATGCTTTTGACCTGCAGTTGCAAAGTGTTGGAGTTTTATGTAAGACGCATCACAGAAGAACCCAGTTTCTGCTCTTACTGTCTGTCAGAACAGAGACTGATTGTTAAAATTCTCCTCTGAACAAAAGTAGTTTTGAGGTCCATCTTCACTGACACACTTTAAATCAAAGGGTACAGAACCTTGAACCAAAGCCATTGGTTTTAGGATTTTAATGATTTTAATTTCTGGATCAGTGTTTACATCATTAATGACCTCATCCATTGAATGTGATATTGTTAGTTAGGGATGGGCAATCTGACAATTTTATATTGTGATTAGTCTTGAAGACGTCCAAAATCTACTTTTCAAGCGAATAGTAGAGATTGTGATTCTTTTATGTCCCGGTAATATGTT